TTTTTTTCCAGTATTTTTTAGTATGCGAAAAAATAATTATTTAGGAAAGTATTGTAAAATAGAATCACAAAAAAAAAAGAATTAAAAATTTTAATAAATAAAATTGCATATTCAACAACAAATGAAGACAAGGGTATGAAAAAATGCGATGCATGTAGGTCGGTAGGAAAAACTGAGTCGAAACAGTGAGTCGAAACAGAAACAGAAACAAACGCATGTACTCGTAGTATGTAATGAACCTTAAGGTAACATAAGTGTTAAAGAATACAAACCGCTATCATCTAAATGTAATGATGAGTTACATGAATGAATGTGAATGTGCATGAGAATATTGAATATTGAATAGGAATAATTGAAATATTAACCTGTACACATGGCTTGCATAGATTGACACACAAACCATCGGAATCCTTGGAATAATGTTCAACAAGTTCTTGGAGTGTTCTGCGAGAAAAACAAAAAATATTCGAATGAATAATAAACGTTGATTAAACGCATTGATTGAATTTTCACAATCACTCACCTAAAAGTTGTGCGACGCGCAATAAAGAAGCCACCCTCATCCAATTGTCGTATACGGTAATGCTTTACTGTGTCACCATCACGTACTGTCAATAGAGAAATAAAAATTAATATTCATCGTAAAGTATGTACTTATATACATACATACATATTTGAAAATGCAATTAGGCGTACAAAAACATTAAAACATTTGCAAATTGCATGCACGCTGCCATCAGGGTTTTTCTAATTCCAATTTTTTTTTTTTTTTTTTTGTATCAATATAATTGATTTTTTTTTTTTGCTTTTACTCACCCGATAGTGAATAGTCGTTGTGACGACTCTCAGAGTCGCGTATCAAATATGCGCCATGTTCATTTTCTGGCAGTAATAGTTTCTTCTCAGCCTCGATTCGTTTTATCTTACGGAAGTACCAACTGTAAAGATAATAGTAAAACGAAATCAAATGTAATAAGTCATAATTTTCTATTGTTAATTTAAAGAAGAAGATGCCGTCGGCTTGCAGCAGACAAGGAAATGCAATAAACAGCCAATTGATCGTTGCAAATTTGCAAATAAAAATATGTATACAAAAAAAAAAAAGTATAATGAAAAAATTAGCAGCAAGATAAGCTACCGTTTGTTGCCTTGTGATGCAATAGGCCACGCTGAGTGGGGAGAGCCAACTCGTTGTTACTGAACGTGAATGATGGTCAAGAGTGGGGTAATAAAATCTGCTAGCATTGTTGTGACGGCGTTAATGAAGCGCAGTAAAAGCCGACTTGCAATAATGACGTAATTTCGTGTGAATTGTATGCGAAAAATGAATTTCATCATAAACGCGTTATGCATATGTAGTATATATATAGGCTAAGAGACAAATGTATCAAATATATATGTATGTAATTTATTATAAAAAAGTACAAAAAAAATCTAGAGGAAAAACAAAGACTATTTCGATCCAGCTCTGTTTGCTCGGAGTGGGAGGCAAAGTTTATGCATTGAAATCGAATGGAGTGTGTGTGGCCACAAAAACCAAACACATTTTTTCCAAGCACTCAGGCAATATTGCCCATTGTTCTTAAGGCTCTGAGAGAGGATTTAGAGAATAGGTACATGGTAATTTATTGCTCCTCTGCAAACTTACCAGACCCTTTAATGAGCGTTAACTGTTTGTCGAGGGAAAGACAATGTAACTAGATATGCCATTCAAAATCTGGCTAAGAGGCCGGACAGCGGCAGAGTAAATCGACGGCTCAGTGGATTATAGCCCTATCTCAGCAAACGGTTAAAAGCTCCCTAATTCAGAATGTGGTTGAAGAATGCCGTACCTCAGCAATCGGTTCAAAAATTACCTATCTCAGCCAACGATATAGGGCGATTTCGAAGCGGCAGCTAAGATAGCGCGTTTTTTTTTAACCAAATTCTGACCGGGAGCCGAGATAGGCCGATCTTCCACTCAGCCGACAAAATGTTCTGTACTATCCTCATTTTCCAAACAAGATGCACATAGTAGATTGTAAATTATGCCTATAATACACATACGTACATATATCGTCACCATGGATTGAGCTCCGTAATCAGTCCTTTCAAGGCTCGTAGATCACTCCTTCTCTGTCAGAGAAGGAATTTTGCTACTATCCGGATTAACGGCGATTGATAAAAATTGTACGGCAGTATTGCGGACTAAGTGATCCGCGAGGATGTGGGTTCGAGTGTCATGGCAGAATTTTTTATTTTTTTAACTTCCTCAATTATTACATTTATTTATTTTTTAACGTAATTATAGTTGTTGAAGCCTTTCTTAATAAAATTAAACTCTAAAAAATTTAATCAAAAATAACGAAAAAAAAGAAAAGTTTTTTAAAAATCGCTCGGAGTGGGGATGGAATCTGTGTGCTGCTGGGTTGTGGTTATGGTTCGCCCTGTTTGCTCAGAGTGCGTAGTATATACAGAAAATATGCACAAAGGAATTTTCCTGTTACAAAAAAGAACTTCAAAACCCATTAAGTTTTCAAAATATTTTATATGGGGAAAAAACATCTTTTGCTAAAAATGGTATATAATTCTTGAAAATCAATATTTTTCGATCGGAAAACTCTCTTTCTGTTCAGTAGACTTCCAATTATAACACCCTATGGTTTATTTTACAACAATAATCAATCTAATACTAAAGATTTTTTATGGATCCCCTCATTGTATTTTTTGTATTTTGAAAGAATTTTCCGATCGAAAAATATTGAGGTTTAAGAATTCTATACCATTTCGCGAAATATTGTTCCACATATAAAATACATGGCAAGAACTGCCATCTTAAAAAAAATAATATGGCTTTTAATGGCTAATTAGGCTTTTTCCCCTAATGCACAACCACCGCCCAGGCTCATTTGGCATGTTTCATCTATTCTACTTTCGTTACGTTTTGGTCAGTGTTGTCATCGAAAATACTCCTAATCCGCATAAAGTTTTAGAACTAACCCGAGATAATTCCGAATTAAGCAGTTGATCTGGATAAACGCTGCCGCATGTCTATGCCTTTACGCATGCTCTCTCACACTAGATTTTTACGGAGTAATAGTACGATGGACGCCGATTAAGAAGAAAAACTAAACTACCTAAAATGAATTTAGAGTGTCTATAGAAATTTCATGATCAGAGTATAACTTAAGACCCGAGCACTACATCGACGGCGAAACTCCACATCATTTTGTGCATGCCACGGTCAGATCTTTAATAGCAACGCCGAATTTCAGTAGTTCAAAGGATTTCGAAGTTTATGATATAGTATCCACGTTTCTCCATAATTGGTCCAACTAGTAACAAAGAAAGAATTAAGGCTAAGGAGAAGAACCTATAAAAAGGTTGATCCTCGGCACCAGCATATGAGTCAGAAAGCAGAGGGGGGAAGAGAATTTCGGGAAGAATGTTGAAGGTGAGAGACCATAGCTCGAATTAACCGCAAAGTCGTTGCGATGCATCGTAACTCGTATTTCGTAAAATGATTGCAATATTGCATTTGCCTTTTTTAAGCATAAGAGAGCTTCAACCTATTTACATATCGTCCCGCTTATGCCACAATCATAAATGTGTAAAAATGAAAATGTTGGGAAATCATGGTTGAAAGTTTTTTTTTTATGAGACTTAACATTCATGTAATTGGTATTATATTTTGGTATAACATAAATAGATTAACCTTTAATCAAGTCAACCATATAACTCAAAATCGTTAAATTTGCACATTCATGCAAAAATAAACATTGAGGGCAAGCATGTGAGAGCGCTCGCTGATTTAAGTTTTACCTAGTCAGCAGTTATATGTTTTTTTTAGTTTAATTCTTAGAATCGCTGAATAAGCAAGCTGCTGCAATCACTGCTATTGCAGAACATTAACACGGGGTAATTGTATGTTTTTGTTTGTTTCATTTATTCAAACGTTTTGTTACTTAGTGTAGCTGCAATAAAAGATTTGAGGGAGAGGATAGAGGATTACTTCTGATTAAGAATGCAGCATTTAAAAGCTTTAGTTTGCTGAACGCTTTGCAATATTTGACTAATGATATACAGTCATGAGAAAAATTATACGGACACAATATTTTGACCAATTTTAAATATTTTTCTTTTATTTTTTTGTATAAAAATGCAGCTTATTATAGAACAAAAATCATATACATAAGTCTAAATCTTAAACTTTGTAGAACAATTCAAGAAAATTGTATGACAACAAGAAACTTATTAAGACACAGTTTTATAGCCCATTAAATTCTAGCTTGATAAAGAGCAAGTTTCAAGTGGCGAAGAATTGGACGTTGTTTTTTGATAATTTTTTATTTATTTTTTTTGCTGGCTTTTTCTTCCATACAAAGTATGCTCCACAATTACTTTTATATGGAAGAAAATGCCTACGACCTTCAGCAAAAAAAAAAAATTTTAAAAATTATTAATCTACTAAAATTTAATAGCATATAAAACTGCATACATTTTTTTTTTTTAAACTGCACAAAAGTTTAAGATTTTTTTATGAAGTTTGAAATGAAGCACCAAATACAAAAAAAAATAAAAAAATAAAAATAACAAGTAACTTTTAGCAAAAAAAAACGACTTAAAAAAATATATACATATATTTCATGCTCCAATGATCGGATCTAAACCAGATTAGTATGGGACCACCTCTGATGCCAACTGTGATGACCACCTTTCCGATGCAAAAAGAATTTTCGAAATCGGTTGACATGGTCCAAAGTAATACGGTAACATAAAAAAAAAAAAATATTCTGACGAACTGATAACCTCCTCCTTTTTTGGAAGTCGGTTGAAAATAGTCAAAACTGCTCAAAATGTCACTTAACTTAATTAGACTAAAATTGTATGGGCTACAAAATGCATGCCCAAAAATGTTCTAAAGATTCAGATTTAAAACTTGAAATTTTGATGAAAATTTGTTGATTTTTTTCTAATTTTTTACAAAGTTTGAAACTGTGATTTATATGGTTTTGGTTAAAGCTTGGACAATATTTTTATAAAAAAAAAGATCTAAAAACAAACAATTTAACACGAAAAACATTCTGAATATTAAAAAACAATCAACACGGTGGTGTCTTGTTTGAGTCACTGTATTTAGTAATCGTATATGCTTGCACCGTTTTCTTGCCCTATATTATGGAAATATAAATAAACATTACAGAATATATATTAAAAAAAACACAACAAAAGACTCCATTACTTGCGTTCTTAAAACTGCTTTGTCATAACGCTAACATTGACCTTAATATGAAAATCTTCACAAAGTTAAAATTTTATCAGTTACAAGCCATTGTATACGCGCATGAGCAATGAAGTTTACAGCAACGCGTGATGTAAAAGAGTGTGGTATTACTAGTGAATACATATATTTGTAAGTATAAAACCAGTGAGATGTCAAAAAGTAGGAATAAAGTTTCGAGTCACAGTTGCATGTCACCCAAACAACAACCTAAGTTTAACCACTTAAAGTAAAGGCATAATAAACAAATAAATTATGAATGTCATGCTTGGTCTGCCGCCTAAACCAAAGTTGCTGGGGGTGGGAGAGGGGTAGGGGGAGCGATAGGGGCAACTAGAAAACTTATAGAAACGGTAAAACAACAAAATCGGCTACACATGTTCAACTGTATGTAACCCACTGTAGGCTACAATAAACAGCACCGGTAGCTGCATAGTTACATATGTCAAAGATATGTATGTATGTATATATGTACATACATATGTATTAGTAGTCATAGTGGCAACTGTAATTGATTGTTGATAATTTTTATTAGACATTAATTGGCAGCGTAAATTGTTGAGTGCCACTACATACTCAGAAGAAAAAAAACGAACGCCAGAACTCGCATTCATGCACGCTACTAGTACCCATAACTTTTAAAAGTGCTCTAAGTCACTTCATATCTCTTGAGCTTAA